ATTTTTTTACTCAAAAACAATGAAGTTTAGAGAAAAAGTTTATGGAATAAATAAGTCTCCAAATTTATCGAGAAACATTCTCAAATATTTTCAGAATTTTTTGAGATTTTTTTAAGAGATTGCACTCGACGAATTGTCGGAAAATTGACAATCGTCTCCGAAAATTCTGAAAAAATTTGGGGCTTTTCTTTGATAAATTTTAAGACTTTTTTGTTCTATAAACTTTTTCTCTAAACCCAATAGTTTTCAAGATAAAAATCAAGTTTGGTTTTTTATAAACATTTCACTTGAGGGACGCCATTTTGTTAGAAAAAGTAGCTAAAAAAATTTAGGAAAATTCCTTACGGTACTTCTACATCCATAATTACCTCTCATCATATTTATACCTCGAATTTTATACTGCAACACTTGGAAAAAATTTCTTTAAGTTGATTTTTCGCGCAAATTTTTACGTTTGTTTTTGTTTAAACAACCATAACTTTTTGACGAAGCATCAAATCTTAAATTTGAGCCCGGATTCTGAAAGGGCATTAAATTTTACATGAAATTATGTATGCGCAAAATCTTTTTGCGTTTCAAAATATAAAAAAAAATCGCGTCGATCACGAACAAAAAATTTCATTATTCTCGACGTGAATGGGTTATTGATAGGTCGTCATGTGACACTGGTGCCCGACGGAAGGTGACCCTCGCGCCCGGTTTGAGTACCTTCTTTATTTTGTTAATAACTTTTTTAATATTAATCGTAGAAGAATTAAAAAAAAAGGAAATTAAAGTTCAAGCTCCTAGCTTTCTAGTGATATAAATTTCAAAAGCAAAAAAATGTTTTTAATCGTTTTGCTACTCAGTTGAAATATTGGTTATATTGGATTTTTTAGTCAAAAATTTTCAACAATTTTTTTTTTGTTAAAAAAAATGGATTTTGAAAATTTTTTTTCGTACAAATATCATAAATGATGAAAGGACTATGAAAAAATTTATTTCATAATTTTAAGTTGAAAATTGCATTTTTTATGGGGGTGACACGGTTACCAGCCATGTTCCACTTACCCGCCTCTCCCCTACTACGCGCTCGCCCGTCTGGTCGATGCTCACCACACGTGCGCCGTGGCACAGTTAGACACGCACACGTATACAGCGATGCACGCTAATACACGCATGCGAGTCTTGATGCCCCACACGGAACACACGTGCGATTTGCGGCGCCTCCAAAGCGAGATGGCCGGTGCCACGCGAGTCACGATGGAAAACGAGTAGTGGCGCCTATTCGCCACGTGCGCGATGAAAACAAAAAATGGCGCAGATCTACCACACGTGCAACGAGCCGAAACGAACCGATCCACACGTATGCGACGATGCACGCCAATACACACACGCGTGAGCGCACACTAAATGGCGTCTCTCAACGTGGCACGACACACCACGCAGTACGCGTGGAAAGCACACACACAACCACACCAGTACACACGCGCGCAACTGACTAAGCTACTTCCTAATTAATAATGTTTTCTAAATTTTACTTGGCGACGCTCTTCGTTCTTCGAGCTCTCGATGATACCAGCAGCTTGCACCTTGACAGCAACAACGATGATCTTGGCCGAGCGTTCTCGGACGGAACAAGCACTTGCCGTAGCTTCGACACGCAGTGATACACGTGAGCTTGACTTGCCCTTACAAATCAAGTGCAACCACCTAATAGGACCTAAACGTATCCTTTCTCTCGGACACTGAACACTACACTCGCAGCGTTACTTTTATTTTCAATTTTTTTATTTTTTAAGAGTTAACCTCTTACTTTTTCTTTGGTTCGCACGATCACTGCTCGAGGATTCGGTGGTTACTGCCTGTCCTGCATCTGCTCCGCTGGCCCGGCACGTGCCCGCCGGCGCTCGCGAGATGGCGGCAAGTGGCCTATTTTTGCACACCGTCGCATTGTCGTGTCGCATCATGCTGCTGACTCGTGATAATATTCGTTGTCGATCTTGGTCTCGGCTCTGCTGCTCAGCTGCACTATTTCTTGGCCTGAAAGCACCAACTCAATATGCCCGCTACTCGCTTGGCCGGCATGGTATCTCATCGCCATAACGCTTTTTATGTGTAGCGCGAGCGGGGGTTGCCTATCCTTACGACTGTGACCCCCGTCACAAGCGATAAAGCCTTTGTGCGCGAGCTCTCAGACCAAACCATTGATTTCGAAGGGCACAAGCTTACTATCAGACCCTTAATATCTAACGCCAAGTGCATCATTTTATCCAACGTCAGCCCTGAGATCACCCACGAAATAATCGTCGAAGAGCTGAAAAAATTAAACATCATTCCAGTGTCTTCTATCTCCTTGGTCCGATCAGATTTGAAGAGTTCGGACTACGATCACGTATGCTGCTTCAGACGGCAAATGTAAGTCAGGCCAGGTGACGTGGCTATGATTTCCCCTCGATTAGAAGTCCAGCTCTACAACTTAACATACGTTGTGTACCTCTCCTCCAAGAAACTGATCTGCAATGAGGAGGGTCATATTAGAAAGCACTGCGGGAGCGTGGTCGAGGAGGAGGACCCAGCTTGAGTCCACTCTGATCGTCCGGCTGCTTTTACGGACTCCGCTGTTGAGCCGTTCCTCTCAGCATCACTGTAGCTGCCGCAAGCGCTACACCAAACAAGGAGGCTATTTTGCCCATAGCTCCGGCTTCTCTGAACAGACCAGCCTCATCACCATCTATCCCTATGCAAAAACAGTCTCAATTAAATGCTAACTAGAACATGGAGAATTTTTCCACTCCCAAGCAACTTCGATAGACCCAAGGCCAAACGTTTTAAGCCACGGATCGATAAACTGTCTATCTTGGACATCTAAAAAAAAGCTCTCAATATGCTCTGAGCACCGATAAACTCATCGATTTTTTGTGTACATCTCATGGAGCTCCGAAAATTCTCCCACTGGCGAACGAGCTCACTGAGGACGCCGAAGGACTGAAGCTCATGCCCAGAGACACCAAGCTAAATATAAAGTGTATAAACTTAGAGGCTGGGCTCACAAGAATCATCAGGAAGATATCCAATTAAGACGCTTCAGACCAAATGAGCGACAGCTCTTGCAACTCAATCAGTGAACTTCAAAAGAAAAAAACAAACTTATGAAGAGCTTCATAATGGATCCACGCTCTTCGTCGACACTAAAAAATTTTTTTCGGAACTCTCGCAGTATTCAATCTAAATTGCTGGAGCTAAGAAAAGAAGCCCTAGAACTAAGAAAAGATCGGCTGCGCCAGCACTGCGGTGGAGTCGCCATCTGGGTTCGTAACAGTCTGGTATCCGCGGAACTCAACATAAAAAGCATTCATGAAACGGTGGAATTGTGCGGCCTTCGCATTCTAGATACCACTCCAGTCCTGGATATAATAGTGTTCTACCGCCCTCCTGATATCCAACTCAAGCAAGAAGAGTGGAATCGCCTATTGAACGTTGCAGAAGGAAATTATGCCAACATCTTGATGGGCGACTTCAACACCCACCACACTTTATGGAACTGCGAATGCTATGATAGCAGCGACCTGAGCCTTTTTGCACAATTTTGAGACAAGCACCTTTGTGGACTTGCGACGAAACTATGCATCCAACTTGGACCTGGTGTGTTCGTCGCAAGACATCAAGGACTTCAGTGCCTCTTGCAGTGCTCTACTCTGACAATGGCACTACCTTCAAGGGAGCATCGAGGGAGCTACGTGAACTCTTCTCTAAAAGCTCGCCTCTTCTCGAGCGTGCAAGCAATCGTTTGCAGAAGAGAAGCACAGTTTGGAGGTTCATTCCTCCCAGGGCGCCACACTTCGGCGGTTTGTGGGAAGCCGCCGTGCGGAGCTTCAAATATCACTTTCGACGTGTGTTCGTCGCAAGACATCAAGGACTTCTTAAGTACATCGATCAACGAAGACCTATAGGGCTCTGACTATCGCCCTGTATTCGTAAACAGCACTCTACGCAAACATCTATACACAAAAAAGATACAAAATCAACTCAATACGGACCAACAGGCTCGAGATCTGAATTTCTCTTGAAGAAAAATATAATGAGTTTATGCGCGGTGACTATGACAGTCTTGAGACCAATCGCAAGTACGACAGATTCTTGGCGACAATCATAGCGGTATATGCGAGCACATACCGAAGCCAAAGTGCGTCTCCAAAAGAAAACACATAAATCCAGTCCCATGGTGGGATTATGAATGCGATCGGGCTAAACGACTTCAAACTGCAGCTCTCGAAAAATACTAGCACTCGCTGAAGCTGACGGACCTTATTGATTTCAATAAGCGGCGAGCTATGATGAGATCCCTACTGAACCGCAAAAAAAAAAAAATGTTTCCAAGCTTTCGTCGCAAGCCTGAACTTTGGATCAAACCCGTCGCAAGTGTGGAATACCTGCAAGATCCTCAAAAACAAATGGATCAACGTAAAACCAGGCAATGCCACCATCGACTTCATACTTTACACATATTACAACTACTACATAGTAAGTAGTACATTTTACAAGTGCTACGTCCGCTCGATTCTTCACTACACCTGCTATATTAATTTTCCCAGCATCTTCGCCTTTCTAGCGCCATGTCAGATCACCGTCTAAACCATATCCCGAAACGCTCTCACTAATATCACAACGCAAATCACTCTAACCTTCACAATTCTTCACATCAACCACATAAAAAAGAAAAACAATCTCCGCACCGGCTTCTTTTACTCTATCAACAAATTTTTATACCTATTTCATGTAATTACATCTGCTCAAATACTTTTAATACAAAAAAAAATAAAGTAAGTGTGAATACCCTAAACTGGGTCCAAACGCACTATAAATTAAAAAAAGTTACATATGAGCATAATACAATATACAATACAATACAATATGTAGTCGATTTTATAGAACTTATGCGTACGGCTAAATACTTGAGATAATTAAGAATAAACATATATAGTTTCCATTATCAAGAATTGAGTCAACAATCATAATACCTTTTAATTCCAGTAAATCCTTTTAAAATATCTTCAAATTGAAGCATTTCTAATTGGCACTCCTCCAAAAAAGTAATAACCTTGTTTTCGATTTCATTACTTACTTTTAACAATCCTTTATTCATTTTATTGGAAATGTATTCATTAGTTATCATACTTTCATCAATTATTTTCCAACATTTACAAGTTATGTGATTATGGTTATAAAGTTCATGAATAGAGTAGTAAGATTTCACAACATTTAAAAGTGAACCACACAATTTCATCAGGCATTGAATGAAACTAGACGATGGTACACACTTACATAAATCGCCATACAAATTCGACGATTTATTAGTTGAATATTCTGCAACAGCATTAAGCGATACATTGTGAATTGTAGCAACAAAATGCATTTGCAACTGATCAATTGCAACAGTAGATTTATTTAAAATTTTATAAGCAGTTTGAATTTTTGAATAATTTTTAAATTCAAAATCTGTACACATTTTCATTAACGAATAATCCAATCTCTCTTCTATTTGTTCCAATACATCTTCTAAATTTTTGTATATAATTATAATGCAACGGTACAGCTTCAATTTATATGAATTATTTTTACAAATGGTGAGGCAAGAAATAGCTTGAGGAAAATCTTCTCTTAAGAGAATTGATTGTAAATCTGTTTCCATAGAATACTGCAAACAAAATTAGAACTTTACATCACGTTTTATAATCAAAATTATTTTAAAAACTTACCAAATCTTTAATCCTTACAATTATGTTTATCAACTGAAGTAAAAGAGCATGTTTTTTATAAAAATAAAGAATTTTTATGCACCAATTTGTTAATTTTATATGTATGGTATCAAAACTACTTCTGCAAGATACAAAAAGACTCAAAATTTTTTTTAAATAAACTTGTAGTGACAGTACTTTATTGATGTGGATTTTTAATTCATGTTGTTTCTTTGATATCAAAAACAACATTTTTCTCCGAATCATGTCTTGAAATTTTTTTAATGACTCCAAATTCAATATGATTTCATCTGTTTCAACAAATTCTGATAATTTTTGCAACTCAAAAGTTATCAAATTATCTTTGTTATCAAGATAATCTTTTTCAAAATATTTATTTGTATTTTTACTGCAAATAAATGTTTCCAGCATGTTGAATCCTTGCGATTGAACTAATTCACTGAAAAACTGTGAAATTTAACTTTAATTCGATTATTTATTAAATTTATTTCTAAAAATTGATTTAATCATTTAGATATTATTAGATTAGATTGGATCGATTTTTTCATACATAGCTTTTTATTTTCTTATGAATTGGCACGGTAATCATCAAGTATTGTCATATAAGTTCACCCGAACGAAAATTCGTCATGATGATTAAAAGTGCATGCTTTAAGGTAAGGTGTAAGTTGTACGGGTATTAATTGTCTCGCTAAATCACTATGTGGGTGATTGTACTGAAAAGCCAGTTTTTGATGTCCCAGCCTGTAGGCAGTTGAAAATCGGGAATAGACGCTACTTGAATATTCAAAATAGTTAGACATAAATAACTTCTACCTTCAACATACATTATTCATCATTAAAAAAACATATTACAAAAGCTTCAGCTTAAAAACAGTCAAAAATGTCCTTGTCGTCACACGTCCATTTTTAAGAATCACACATTAAACCCTACTATCAAAGCAGTTATATTCATGAGAAGTGTGTATGCATTTTTTCAAGTTCTTTTAATATCTTATTATTCTTTGGGTAGTCGTGATTTTTTGATGATCGCGAATACCCGAAGCAAGTCATCGCAAAGTTCAGTTCTGACCTGGAGCCAAAAGTAGGCTACCTGGATGATATTCTCAAACGAAAAATTTAACTACCTGAAGAAAGACGATTTGGCATGACTTTCGATTTTTCAGCAGGGTTATTCAATTATCCTCGCGGATCAGTTCAAAATCCGTGACGATTTACTGACGAGACCTCGCGGATCCTTCGAGCGTTCTCGCGAACAAGTCTGAAATCCACGAGGATTGAACAAAAATCAACGTCGATTATTCAATTATTCTCGTGGATCAGTTCAAAATTCGAGGTGATTGCATTTTTTCAAAAGATGTTCTATCCACGTGGAATCTCTGTATAATCCACGTGGAATCCCTGTATGATCCACGTGGATAACTAATCCTCGTGGATAGTGCACATGGATATCCATGCAATTATTTTCAAGTGGGTTAAAACTCCAAGATTTGGATTTTGCACTGAGATCCTTGAGCCTATATCGTATACTTTCGTGTTAAATTTTTTGCATTTTTTGGTGAGTAGTATTTTTGGTAACCGGTCGTAATTTTTAGAGAGTACCAATTGAGCAATAGCATCAGGGTCACGTACACTTTTTCAGAACTGAAGGATTGATCGAAACAGTACTTTAATGATTTAATTTCAGCAAATAATGAAAAATGAAAAAAAAGGGAGCACAGCTGTACAGGCAGAGCAATCTGCGTGTTATTTCTACGATTATCGCGCGCGCTCGTGTGGTGTACCTCGTACGTACGATTTTTACGGAATCACTCATTATACCCAACCTACCTAAAAAATTTTAACTTCAAAAATTAAATAAAAAAATACAATTATTTTAAAAAATGAAACAGCTGTTTAAGAATAACCGTTAAAAGTAAAATTAAAACAAAATTTTGTTCAAGTCAAATCCAAGAACAGAGTGATTGTACCAATACCCAGACAGATAAGAAGTTATGTTCTATTAAACACCTATTACCTTATAAAATTATAATAATCCAGTTGAAAATAATTGCATGGATATCCACGTGGATCGTACAGGGATTCTGCGTAGATCGATCATGGTTTGAAAAAAATACGATTGCCGCGGGTTTTCAACTGATCCACGTTGATATTTTTTCAATCCTCGTGGATTTTAGACTTGTTCGCGAGCACGCCCTCGAAACATCCGCGAGGTTTTGACGGTGCATCACCGAGTATTTTCAACGGATCTACGAGGATAATTGAATAATCTACGTTGATTTTTGTTTAATCCTCGTGGATTTCAGACTTGTTCGCGAGAACGCTCGAAGGATCCGCGAGGTCTCGTCAGTAAATCGTCACAGATTTTGAACTGATTCGCGAAGATAATTGAATTACCCTGCTGGAAAAAATCGGTTGAAAGTCATGCCAAATCGTCTTTCTTCAGGTAGTTAAATTTTTCGTGTGAGAATATCATCCGGGTAGCCTACTTTTGGCTCCAGGTTAGAACTGAACTTTGCGATGACTTTCTTCGGGTACTCGCGATCATCAAAAAATCACGACTACCTGAAGAAAGTCATCGCTGAGTCCGAATCCTAACCTAGTACCCACCCAGAGTAAGAGCGAAAGCAAGATTTTAAAATTGTGATTATATTGTACAACTAGTTTTTCTATAGTGGTACTATGAATATAATAAGATTTTAAAAGAACTTGAAAAAAATGCATACACACTCTTCATTAATATAACTGCTTCGATAGTATAATCAATGAATAGCTCAAGTGGTAGGAAGCTAGACTTGTAACCGACAGATCACCGGTTCAAGCCCAGGTCTTGGGGAACTTTTTAAAGTATGTAAGTAAATAAATTTTATTTAGATCTTGAAAATTATCTAAATTATTAAGTAAATAATTTCAAAAATTAGTGACAATTCTTAATCAAAAAAAGAATCACCTGAGGATTTTTTTTACTCAAAATCCACGAGTATTCCACCACAAAAAACCTCGTGGATAATCGAATATCCGTGAGGATTTCCGTATATCTACGAGGATTTCTGCGGAAAGCCGCATGGGTTGATCGAAAATCAACGCGGATGTCTCATAAATCCACGAGGCTTACGTAGGTGGAATCTTTATATGATCCATGTTTGATCCACGTGGAATCAATGTCTGATCTTCGAGGAATTTCTGTAAGATCCACGTGAAATCAGCGTGGATAATTAACGAGGACATTCACGATATTTTTTTCAACTGCGAAATCATTGCTTTTTTTATCTGGACAGTTAAAAGTCTGAATCAAAAACCCTATAACATGACATCAATTTACTTTAAAAACAGTTTGAACAACTAAAATTTAAACACTTATTGAAACTCTACCACGCCATTTAAATCATTTTAAAATTCATTTAAACATTTATATGGCTTAAATCTAAGTGAAGAATGAAACTTCAACAAAATCTCTAATTAATTATTGCTATGGAACGATAGATTTATTATCTATGGAATAAATAATAAAACCAATGGGAGTAAAACTTCTGGGTTTCTTTCTTTTCTGGTTTAACTTTTGTTTTTGAAGTAGATTTCTTTGGNGTAAAAAAAAATTTATTTCTAAAATATATATGTAAAAGTACATGACTTCGAGAGTATTTTGTGAAAATTATAATAATATATTATGCCAATTACTCCTTCTCAGTACAAAAAAATACAGAAAAGGACCTTAAGAAAAACAAAAAAAAAGTGTTTATTATAATCGAATACTTAAAATAGACAGGAAAATAAGAAAAAAAAATTAAAATGTTTTCAACCCTCATTTCTGAAGGCGCTGTTCATCCCTTATCGTGAGCCCGATCTTTTTTCTTTTTTCCAGGTGAAAATTTTCAAAAAAATTCATATCCCGTACGTGTACCAAGAGGAAATTTCTATTTATTTTTTTTGTCGAAAAACTAAAAGTTTCAGAGAATTCCACATATTCATAACTATGCTGACAGGACTGTTTCTATTGCTTTTGTGACGAAAACTTGCCGCAGATTGGGTGGTTTTACTGGATCAGAATCATTTATTTAGATTATTCTCATTATTGCTTCCTCATAGAGGAAGTCCTGTGATAGGCTTGAAATCGACATCGACATTTGTGTTGAGTGGGTGGAGAAGTGAGTGGAGGAGGTGGAGAAGTGGGTGGAGGAGGTGGAGTTAGACTCTAGACAGTGAATCAACATTTAAAAATACGAATTTTCACGTTAATAACCGATGCCTTTTATTGATACTATTTTTTATGAGGAAGCTTTTTGCCAATAATTTGGCAGCGGTTTTTTGCTTGTAGTCCTTGTAGTGTTCTTAATGCAGTCTCGTAGACTCCTCCCCAACCAATTATGCCATAAGCAGTCACGCTGTGAAATAATCCATAATAGATTTGCAGCAGTTGACTTCAAAGTATATGTTGTAGTCTGCAGAAAACATATAACAGATATTTTGTCCTATTTACAATTCTATCATCAGAGTTAGATCAACGCACTCACCACCTTGAGTTCGCCA